CCCTTCACAACCCTGATGCAAATGCTCTAGTGGATTTTGTTCACGTAAATTAAACAAAACGTGTACAGTGTTCAATTTCATGAATTTTAAACAACTAAACAAAACCTGAGGTAAACTAAGTCATTGTTAATAAGATCTATAGTTATTCATAGATATGCATTATGATGTGGATGGAAACTGAAATCCAAGCCTAGTGCTTCAATCAATAAGCCACACCACACTACTAAACTATGAACTATAGACATACTATGAGTATTTTAAGAAAAGTAGTCCTTTATGATGATAAAAGTACACACACTAAGAATTTCATTCTATTTTACTGTCTGGATGTTCTCACCAAATTTATAACCTCATAAAACTTCACAAGACCAAAAACATCGTCTTCATAGACATTCCGGAGTATTTTAAGACTTTCGGCATCATCATCTACGTGACTGATGTGAAAAGCATCGGTGTTTTGAAGGGTTTGGTGAACTTTAAAGTCAATTTTTCTGAAATAGACGATCATCCAAGTTAGTCATTTCGAAAACTTGAATAATTCCATATTTTAAGACATTGTCGAACTCAAATGAATTCGATGTAATATAAAACTTACTATGTCTTGGATATTTTTGGAAATCGAATAAACTGGGGTAGAAATGGCTTCAACTTGTCTACGGATGACTTTAAATGTTTGTCACACTGGATACCGACAAATACCATAGGAACATCGCGTTTAAATCGAGACTGATCTAATTTCATTTCATTTAAAGGTGGAAGTGTCTCTTTTGTTTTAGATACTTCGGTCATCCCTGAATGATCTTCTTTCTTTAAATGTTCCCTTGTTTGATCCATACTGAAGAGTGTAGGTGATTTTGAAAAATATTTTACAGGATAAGTAAAGAAACACGCCGGAGATCTAGAGTAACTAATAAAAGTGAAGATTCTTGCAGCCTTAAATATCAAGAAAGAATACAAAGTTAACACACAATAAGAATAACAATAAATTTGAGTTTCAATACGCAAGCATACTATATATTAGAATGCAAGCACTTGGATGGAGAACAAGAATCGTACTCCCCGTCCTACTTTTGACGTACAACACACTAAGTTGTAAACACTGGCAGTGATGCGCAAACCAACACCACAGCTGACAGTGAAAGGCAGATAATAATACATTACGGAGTCAAGTGGTGTAACACAGTACTAATGGAAAAATAAATTCCAGTGTAGCAATGGAAACTATCATATAACAGGAAATATTTCCTTCTCTAGATTTTAACATAGACCGCCAATATCTAAAATGATATGAACCAAATATCTGTACCGCGGAAACAAGAGTACAGTCGAAGGCTGCACTCATGAAACCAAGAATCATTACTATACTGAGTTTCTTGTGATACTTATTATTTATTGCAGAAAAATCAGTTCACAGGTTACAAAACGTAAATGTTACAGCTGGTATAATAGTGACAAATTGGAGCCTGGTGAAAAAGCATGCACTGTGAACAGGTAAACATAACTACCACAAGGCAAAGTCATAATTCCAAATAATACAGTTGATAATAAGGTCAATTTACTCACTACATGTATTTAATGCAGACTACCTTTAACTTTAATTGTACAAAATGTAAACGTAAATAATGAAACAATGAGAAATACCTCTAGAATGTAAATGAAACTCTCGTTCAAACAATATCAGAATGGACAACACTTTAACCAGAAAATTCACATTCTGAACTACAAAGATTTTTTCTCACCAACATTACGTTTTATCGAGTCTTTAAAATGCAATGATTTGCTTACAAAATGTTTAGATATTATGCCTCAAAACATGTAACAAAACTTACAATTGTTTTTTTTTTAATGATCGAGAACAATCAACCTGAGTCTCAGAAGTTGAGCTCAAATGAAGTACTTAAGATATAAGATATGGAAATTGTGACTATACTGTATGCAACAACAGGATTTGTGTTTACGTAGCTTTATTTGAAGGCTGAAAAGATGCTAGTTTTCATCTGGCACTTTCCGTGAAACAAAATGAGTTAAAGCATAAATATGACTCAGCCCTTCTTAATAGTGAAGTATATGTCTATATAAAGCAAAAGGGACAAGATACTCAGTAGTACTCAATGACAATGACCTTCAATCGTACTATCATCTTCACCACTTGAATATGTTATATTTGTATATTTTAATCTTAATTTTACAAAAGTTTCAACAAACAGTAGGGAAAAGATGAACAAGAAATGTGGCAAAACGCAGTACCCGATTAAATGTATATTTTACTTCAATAAGAAAATATGTTTCTCTATGTACATTAATTAATCTGAATGAAAATAGTCTTTCAGCAATTATATAAACAGTCCACAACGTGACTCCATTAAACATCTTTCTATAAATACAGCAGGTGCAATACCACAGGCACCAACATTTAGTTTATGGGAAAGACTCAAACGTTTAGTTTCTCCGGCAGCATCTTCAGTTTTTGATATTATACCTTCAGAATGATGATTATTTTCACTATGGCATTCTATTTTTAGAAAACCTGTTTCCGAGTTATATGTTGGTTTAATATCACTTGCTTCAAAGTTAGGTTTTATATCTGGAGAATAAAAAGGTGAATGTGTCTGACGAGGAAGATTGGCTATTATGGTATTTTCATACATCTCAACAATGTCATTCCACCGCGTATGCTGATTGCTAGGAAGTGGTGGAGTTGGGCCACATAACTCAACCTGATAAGGTTCATAAACAAACCGAGTGGCTTCAACTGCCTCCCGTTTTGTATTTTGACTCTGAAAAACAGATGACCAGATAAACAACAATTATGATAGAGAATAATATGAGCAAAAAGTAGTGGCAAAACATGAGAAGAATTTTGCAGAACAGCAGTTCATCAATGCGTTCTTATCAAGTCATGATCATACCTTATTCAGCAAAACTTCTAAAATGAGACACTCGATGGGCAGTGGAATTCAAAGAATAACTCAGTTCTAGTTTGAGTTTTGAAAACCCCTTTGGTGTGACTTTGTATGAAAAAAAAATCAGTCCAAGTAATAAGTGTTCCTGTGATTTAACAAAATTTGAAGGAAATTTTGACGGAAATAATGGACAAACTTTTAGTTCAACGACAACAGACTGAATGTAGCTAAGAAAGGAACCGTGGTGATAAGTCTGATAGGTGAGTATCATTATCCACACTTATATACATTGAAAGAATATATCATGAGAAATACGGTTACTCGCACTTTACAGTGTCCTAAGGGAAAAATGAGCAAATAAAGAATTATGGAGCCATATTTCAATATCGACATATAAAACATTTAAAGATAAATGCTTAGTTTAGGTAATTGGTGTACTATGATGAAAAAATGTAAGGAGAGAAAGAATAGGTATCTGATGGTATCAGTATAATTTGTGGTGAATTCAGACAATTACAATTATGTAAAACAGGTTCATACATCAACATTCTTCATGATTCCTTTTATGAATGTCGAAGTGTAATCAATACAAATGCAATACGTGCGTAGCCACCCTGAAGAAAAAAGCCTAGTTGCAGCGCAGCGGATTGTATTGGCTGATCTGTCAACAAATCCAAAAAATTATTCTATGAAAATAATATTAATTACATCTGTCTGTCTGGATTCAACATAGAAGTCGGCACCGAAATGCACCAGTTCGAGTTGCCACGTTACAAATAGCACACAGAGGTAGACAAGAAGATGAGTGAAGAGAATCAATACAGTCTGACAAGTATAAAAGTGAAACAGAATGGGTGATGGTAGAAAGGAATATGAAAGATTACAGAGACTGAATACATCTGCGCTGGCCACTGACAACGATTTTGAGCCATGTCACCTATTGTCTCCAGCCATTGATTCCTAGAGTCCTGAGGGCCCCAACCCGGAAGTCTGCATCTCCCTACCTGACTCAGTTTAACTGTCAAGGATTTCATAGATTGACGCCAGGTTTTTGTTTGGCCACCACTTACTCTTTTCCAACCTGCACCTATATCAGCTGTCTGTCTGTTTTCGACATAGAACTTTGCACAAGTGTGCGGAAGTTCAAGTCGCCACCTATATCAGCTAGTAATGCCCGTCGGGGGAGGCGATGGCTAGGCATGCGCAGCACGTGACCTAGCCATCTCAATCTATGTAATTTTATGGCCTCGTCGATTGATTTTTCCTCTTCGCCCAACACTACGCCTAACGTCAACATTACTTACCTTATTAAACCACCTAACGTGAGACAGAGATCGCAGACATCTATGATCGAAAGCAGTCAACCTTTTCATGTCTTCAACTCGCATTGGCCATGTTTCAGAGCCATAAAGAAGGACGGAGCGAACTGCTGAGCAGTACACACGTCCCTTGGTTGATAGCCGAGTGTCACGCCTACGCCAGAGATCGTGTAAGCTGGCGAAAGCAGGTCGAGCCTTTTGGATTCGTGCTGAGATTTTGTCGGCCATCAGTCCGTTGGTGCTGATACAACTTCCTAAATAGTTGAAGTGGTCAACATGTTCTATCACTTCACTCCCTATCACTAAGCTAGGAGTTGACGTAGTCCAGTGCTGTAGCAGCATCTTACATTTTATAGGGGCGAATCGCATGCCAAACATACGAAGATTGCTGCTCAAGGTGTTCAGAAGACTCTGCATTTTGTCAGAATCCTCCCCTAACAGGACTATGTCATCTGCATATTCTAAGTCCATAAGACTATTCCTTGGTAACAAGTCGATTCCTAAGTCGTCACGTTCAGTTAAGGATACTTCCATTAGCATATCTATGATGAAGCTAAACAGAAATGGGGAAAGTGGATATATATATATATATTATACCAGTTAATATAACTACAACACGGTGTGAATTATCAAAATGAAATCTTATCCATAATGGAGTTATACTCTACCACAGTGCCCAAGTTTTATACTTATATCAATTCCCCATAATCCGGTAATCAACGTGTTTCTATTTGTGTTATTTGTGGGAGATTATCAAAAGGAAAACAATTTCTGAAATTTATATTTTTTTATATTTTTGATTTACAGCTTGATTCCACACTGTATTTTTGGTACAAGTATGGAATTTTCAGCATGGATATCGGTAGCCCAAATTTTGCAGGCCGACCATAGATATCAGGTGTGCGCCGGCGTGGGTTCGAACCCCGGACCATGTGCATGGTCGGCGAGAGTCCTTACCACTGTGCCACCGAAGCACATGAAAGCATGACTACTAATAAAACAGATAAACTATGAAGTTGTAAAGTTAAATATGAACAAACCACGGAACCGTTCTGTTTCATTTTTATTCATGCTAGATTTTTCCAAATACATACTGGATAAGTTCAAGCCAAACTGCACGAAATTGCAAAAAATAATGGTGTTAAGAATAAAACACTTACCGAATGACTTCTGTTAGATAACTAGATTGTAGACAGAGTAAGTCTTAGGAAAACAATTTTTCATCAACGGTAATATATTGATGTGACCACCGTTTATAGTTCTCTCCAAGTTTCATTCAGTGGTGTTGATCCTCCATTTTTATAACTGACATTTTATTATAGTATGCTTTATTCTCGAGTTGAAAGTAAACACGCCAAACTATTTTGCTAATTAAATAATACTTAAAGCCCGTGAAGTGTGAGTAGATTATAAAATATTCTGCAAACAGAAAAATACGTACCGTTTGTTGACTAGGTATCAAAACAGTGTCTTGTTGTTTTCGAACAGATTGCATGTGAGGCAGACGTACCGCGTGATGTGATCCACTTGGCCAGTTATTTGACGAACTGCCAGTGGGGGGTGCTACAGGGAACATGGAAGGTGGAGCCATAAGGCCACTCGCTGGAGTGACTAAGGGACGGACAGGAAACGCAGAACTAGGTCCATAACCTACACCTTGTGTAGGTGGCACGACATAAGATGGAGGTGCGTATATTGACGGGGGAACAAAAGTAGTAGGTGGTCGGCGTCCAAAGGATGAGGCAGGTGGGATGAGCATATTTGTTCGAGGTGTTGGGGGAACCAAGCTTTTTCGTTTTTCTCCCTCAGAATCAGCTACCAGTGAAGTGGTAGCGTCGTCAGGCGCACCAGTTGTTTTTAATCCTTTCGGTTGTTCCTCTTCTTCTTCTTCTTCTCTTTCTCGCTTTTCACGCAAAACAGATTCACGCTCTAGCTCGCACTCATAAAAAGTTTGTGATGTTGACTAAGAAAGTAAAGAAGACAAAAACATACACAATTCTTACTATGACATTTCGAGCGAAATTCATTGTGCATTATCATTTCAATGTACTCACGTTACTTGTTAACTCGGTATGTATAGTCACTTCCTGCTGTGCTCGGAACGTTAACCAGTTATTAATACTCTTTCAGTGTCGCGCTGTCTTGTTTTTCTGATTCCGGTAAGATTTGACATCCTCGCCAGTGCCGCCTGCAGCTGAGACGATGCTGCCGAGGTTAGTAATTGAAAGAGATGACTTCATTTAGATTACCCTCACTGACGATGATTGGTGCTCGTTATAGTTATTCGGATATCTTTACCAACTGTCTTTCCAACGTTCACCTGAAGCCTTGCCTTGGTCGAACATTCTGACAACGTATTGTTTTAAGCTTATGAATGTTCCAGTTTGTGCGACACACCTGAGAAATCCGGATATTGTATGGTTTTCTTGTCGGTCAAATGTATGCTCTTCTTCGTGCTCCACACGGTCGGTCGCATGATCTAGTCCACCACAATCAGGAAGAACGTTGTACATACCAATATGCGACATCATATTGCTGATGAATGGGCTTTATATACGTTTGTGACATTCCGAGGATTTGAAACAGTTTCTACATTATTCCGCGACTGGATATGTCACGGACCTTTACAGTTTCAGTGGAGTTCAGGTACATAGTCGACTGCCGACTTAGCGTCTGCCCAGTGATGGTGCATAACATCGCAATTCGGTCGGCGAATAACTTGCTCTGGATGGAAAACTTCCCCCATACAACAATGAGTTCAGGAAAAGCATCTTTTAATCTCTCTAAAATATTGCAGCTTTACGGTTCGTGCGATGGGTGCTTTCAAACTTACCCTATCCTAAGTGGAAAGGCAGTGTAGCTGGTTTATTAATCGCCTGAGGGAAACAATTTACTGCTGTTACACCCTTATTCGCCAGCATTACGTCCTTTGCCTAAGACCCACACTGCAATGTAGGAGATTGACACTATAGTGGTAACTGCTTTTAGTCCAACGTCTACCCAAACAATATTCCTGATATGGTAGGACCTGTAGAAACTTTCGTTTTAACCAGCTGTAGCTCGTCGGATCATTGCCACATCAATGTAGCAGCTTTGAGAACGTGGCGGTGTAAATGAGCTAACCACCACCACTGCGAATGCTACAAGCCTTACAGTCTGAATGCAAATACAAAAGTAATCAATGCACCTAAAGAGATTGCAAACAAAACTACACAAAGTATTGCTGAGTGATTTCAAATGTCCTGTCTAGTTCCACACACATCTATGATGAATATTAAGTAGTTCCACTCAGAAATTTACTTATGTAGGATACTTTCTGTGTACCTAAAGACTACTTAAGTAAATTAAGTGGTGAAAAACCACCACCAAACGAAGGACTTAAAAACGGGAAACAACTCCGTTGTAGGGATTTGATTGATTTGTTACAGCATTTCATCATGAGCTGATACAGGTTAAAGAACTATTGAAAAACCTAGGAGTACTGGACAACTATTTTGTCCCACTTCGAGACTCTTCATCATTACACACCCACCGGGGTTCGGTCCCATTAAGCCACTGGGACCCGATCCAGTAGTCAATCCATGAATTCCAACTTCCGCCAATTCCCGACATAACGTGACCGCTAGCCAATGTCTTCGGTGAGTACTTATACCCACACTCAACCTGGTGCACCCTACTGGTCAAAGCTTGCCAGTAGTATAGATGAACATTGGCTTCATCTGTAAGGTGCCATGCAAAGGGCAAGTGTAGCCGCTTGCATCTTGAAAGAATGCTCCGCTAAAAACCACTGGGTTTCCGCGAGTTCCTTGCAACTCCTGGATAAACGCCGGTCTATTCCGGCTGGCAGCGAGTACAACAATAAGCGAAAGACGCTCACGCGCAAGATTAGACAGTGTTTATGTAAGGACTGAGAAGCCTGGTGGTCAGAAGGTGCGTGTGAGATGGAATCAGCTACCGCATCTGTCAACAGTCGGAAGCTCTTCCAACTCATCCGAGCCACCAGCAGCAAGAAACAAGGTGCCAGCGAAACGGTCTGTGAGGCAGATGGCACGCCAATTACCAGCCTGAAAAGACGCCTGGAACGCTGGGCAGAGCACTTCGGGAAACAGTTTAGCTGGCCACCAGCTTCAGTGTCTACTGTCATTAGCCCCAATACTCCTTGGTCGGTTAGTACCGACCCACCCACCGAAGCGGAGGTCCGTAAGGAACTCCAAGTGTTGAAACGCCATAAGGTGCCCGGCCCAGACAAATTACCCCGGCTCTTTTTAAAGATGGTGGCGAGACTCTCACAATGGCTCTAACTGGGTTGTTCAGGAAGGTATGGGAGACAGAGGGTGTACCATCAATGTGGAACGAAGCCATTATCGTCCCCATCTTTAAAAAGGGTCGACGTAATTCGTGTGACAATCATAGGGGTATCAGTCTGTTACCAGTCGCGTCTAAAATATTGGCTGCTGTCTTGCTTCGCAGACTGTGCAAAATACGTGAAGGATTGATTCGCGAAGAGCAGGCTGGGTTTCGTTCAGGTCGTGGATGCATTGATCATGTGTTCACCCTTCGTCAGTTGTTGGAACACCGCCACACGTATTGCAGGCCAACGATCGTTGTGTTTCTTGATATTAGGTTTCGTTGGACAGAACTGTGCTCTGGAACTGTCTGTTAGAGAGAGGTGTACCTGAGAAATTTGTTAACATCCTGAAAGCCCTATACAGAAACACCTCAGGTAGAGTGAGGGCATACAACCAACTATCACCACTGTTCCCAACCAACAGTGGGGTTAGACAGGGTTGCCCAATCTCTCCATTTCTCTTTAACTTTGCCATCGATGACATTCTGGAGTCAGCTCTGAAGGTGGTGTAGATCTGCTACCTGGAGATAGACTTTTCGACCTCGAGTATGCAGACGATATCGTCTTACTGTGCGATAGCATGCAGGCTGCCCAAATCGCACTTAATCAGTTGGCGATCAGTGTCTGTAAGTATGGTATGTGCTTTGCGCCGTCTAAGTGCAAAGTACTGTTACAAGATTGGCAGGAGCCTGTACCTGCACTCACTCTTGCGGATGAACCGCTTGAAGTTGTTTATAAGTTTGTGTACCTGGGTAGTTGTGTGAGTGCTGGCGGAGGGGTGACGGATGAGATTTCCAACCGTATAATGAAGGCTAGGGTGGCATACATCAACTTGAGCCACCTATGGCGCCGTCGCGACGTTAGCCTGGCTGTCAAACGTTGGGTATACAATGCTTCGGTGCGGGCTGCGCTGCTCTACGCCTGTGAAACCTGGCCTCTCCGAGCTGAGGATGTGTGGCGACTCTGCGTGTTCGATCACCACTGTCTCCGCAGGATTGCTTGCGTTCGATGGCATCATCGCGTGAGTAATTCTGAGGTTCGGCGGCGTGTGTTTGAACACAGTGGAGATCACTATTCATTGAGTATAATCATCTGGAAACACCGGCTCCGGTGGCTTGGACATGTGCTGCGAATGTCATCCCAGAGGCTTCCGTACAGGTCTCTGTTCGCTAGCTCTGGGACGCGATGGAAAAGGTGGTCAGTCCATGACGTGGCGTCGTGGGATGAAGGATTTTTGTGCTTGATTAGCATCGTCTGTTGTGTCACGACTCCCTGGTTGGGGTCCGAGAGATAGCTCAAATCGATGGCTCGAAACGTTATCGGAAATGACCAAGAATCGTAATCAATGGCAAACGTGTTGCAATTTCCTTCTTTCTTCCCTTCCCGATGATAGTTAACGAATACTTTGAACTTGTTTAGCATGACTGTTTTCCTTCCAGATGAAGTTCCTTATCCGTTCTCTTCTTTCTTTTTTTCTTTTGATATAAGTTGTTTTATTATTATTGTGTGGCGCATCCTTCTTGGTGCTATATTGTACCAAGTTTCTATGCGTTTAAATAAATAAATCAATAAATCAAAATTGAATAGTGACCATAGTGAATTCCAATATTAAAATTCGCTAATCGGTGAACAAGTGGGGAATGAAATGGGTGTTAGCGCATTACACTATACAAAAAACAAACCAGCATGATCTCTATAACAAAAGCATTGGTTTCAATAAGTTCACTATACTGTTCAATTTAGTGGACAGGTGGAAAACTCGTAGACATATAAAGCAAATGATTTCTTGAGTAGATGTAAAAATAACTTACTGGCCTTGTTCGATTCCTTTTAATGACGTCTTTATTTTCCTTTTTGTAGTTCTCTATGTACCTTTTCGTATCGTCTACATATAAATCGTTAGTAAGATTGTAAACTGCAAAGCTTGTTATAAATGTTACATCTCACTTATTTCTTCCACCTTTTCCAAATAAGAGTCGTAATCTTCTGGACAATCAAAGTCATCTTCGCGCTTGTTAAAACTAACGGTTTTGAAGTTACATCGATGAGCCAAACATACTCGCTAAGCACCTTCTTACGAATATCCACTTCTTTCTGAACCAATGGGTCTTCGAACAGCTGATAACGAAAATTTGTTTTCCGAATAGGGGTTTTGCATTGTGCACATAAGCCAGATCCCCGTACGAAGAGAACTTCAACACAGTTTTCGCATCTTAGATAGTCGAATGAATAATGTTTCTACCACTTACAATGAATGACCACACACATTCACCATCAACTTTAACTGAGGATTACTGTATTTGCTTGACCTGCAGCTTGGGCATGTTTGTGACTGCTCAAACATTTTTGAGCGCTGACCTTGAAAATACAAACCGCCCACCTCAAGTGAAACACGTGATTGCCATATTTCCAGTACAGAAACACAAAACTGATTATCCCCGTATACAAGAAGGGAGACAAGTCTTCCTGTGATAATCACAGAGGGATTAGCTTGACTAATATAGTATCTAAAGTCTTAGGCTCAATAATCATGCGTAGACTGAGTGGTGCTCGGGAAGCACAAACACGAGAGAGCCAGGCAGGCTTTAGACCAGGAAGAGGGTGTATTGATCATATCTTCACCCTCCGACAGATTCTAGAACATAGGCATTCCTACCGGCGTCCAACAGTCATTATATTTCTTGACCTAAAAACAGTATTCGACTCTGTCGATCGAGAAGTTCTCTGGAGATGCGTGGTTGTAAAAAAAATGCCGACAAAATACATTGCACCGATCAAGGGACTCTACTCGAACGCATGCAGTCAGCCAGGTGAGGGCTTACGGCGAGCTGTCATCTGAACTGATGACGACCAGTGGTGTCCGTCAAGGATGCCCATTATCTCCTTTTCTATTCAACTTCATCATAGATGTGTTAATGGACTTCAGTGACTCAGGGATTGACTTGCTACCGGGGAATAATCTCGTTGACTTGGAATATGCAGACGATATAGTCCTTCTAGGCGAAGACGCTGACGAAATGCAGAGTCTTCTAAACACCTTGAACAGCAATCCACGAATGTTTGGCATGCGATTCGCTCCCGCCAAATGCAAGATGATGTTACAGGACTGGACTACATCGACGCCTAGTTTAAAAATAGGAAGTGAAGTGGTAGAGCACGTTGACCGCTTCACTTATTTGGGAAGTACCATCAGCCCCAACGGGCTGATCTCTGACGAAATCTCAGCACGAATACAAGGGGCTCGTTTCGCATTTGTTAGTTTACGCCGACTCTGGCGTAGACGAGATGTTCGACTATCGACCAAAGGGCGGGTGTACTGCTCATCAGTCCGCTCCGTCCTCCTGTATGGTTGTGAGACCTGGCCACTGAGAGTGGAAGACATGAAAAGACTAGCTGCCTTTGATCATAGGTGCCTGCGTTCTATTTCCCGTGTAAAGTGGCATAATAAGGTGAGCAACATGGAGGTTAGGCGTAGAGTTCTAGGTAAACAGGGGAAATCAATCGACGAAGTCGTGAAGCTACAAAGACTGAGATGGTTAGGACATGTGTTACGTATGCCAAGCCATCGCCTCTCTCGACGAGCAGTGTTAGCGGATATAGGGTCAGGCTGGAAAAAAGCTAGCGGCGGTCAAACAAAAACTTGGCATCAGTCAATGAAATCCACAACAGTTGGTCTAAGCCACGTAGAAAGGTGTAGACTTCCAGGCTGGGGTCCTCGGGACGGTAAAATCTATGGTTGGAAACAATTGGTGACATGGCTCAAAATCGTTCTCAGTGGCGCAGATGCATCCACTACCTGTGACTTATGATCTTCAATGAAACTGTTTTGTATTTCTTTATTACTCCTTTGTCTCACACCTCTGCTCACTGTTTCTATTATGCTTTTCTTGTACTTTCTTCTCTTGCTTCGCGTGCTACACGGAGTGTGGCGACTTGAACTTCCGCACATTTGTGCAAAGTTCTATGTCGAAAACAGACAGACAAACAGGTGTAATAAGGTGAGCGATATTGAGGTTAGACATCGGTCGAGTGCTAGATAAGGAGGGAAGTGAAATCAATAGACGAGGAGGCTGTGAAGTTACATCGACTGAGATGGTTAGGACATGTGTTACGTATGCCTAGTCGTCGCCTTCCTCAACGGCCAATGTTAGCTGACATAGAGTCAGGCTGGAAAAAAGCCAGCGGCGGTCAAACCAAAACATGGCACCAGTCAATGAAATCTACAACAGTTAGTTTAAGCCAGTCACGTAGGAAGGTGTAGGCTTCCTGGTTGGAGTCATCGGGACGGTAAAAAAACCGATGATTGGAGACAATTGGTGACATGGCTCAAAATCGTTCCCAATGCACAGCGTAGATGCATCCACTCCTTGTGACTTATGATTTCCAATGAAACTGCTTTGTTCTTCGTTACTACTATTCCTTTGTCTCACACCTCTGTTTACTGTCTCTATTATGCATTTCTTCTACCTTCTCTTGCTTAGTGTGCTACAAGGAGGGAGTGTGGCGACTTGAACTGCTGCACATCGATGCGAAGTTCTATGTCGAAAACAGACAGACACAAGGTCGGAACGCGCCTTAGGTCTAGTTCTAACGGAAAAAATGGACACAAGTGTAAATTACACGGGAGATGTAGCCAGGGCATATGCGGTCATACCCTTTACACATGGACAGTTAGGTGCACTCACTCCTAAGCTCTTTCTTAGGTTTTACTAAACATACGTCAGACCACACCTTGAAGTGCATAATATTATTGCATCCCCACTGCTTAGAAGGGACGCCAACCTCTTGGAAAGAGTCCAACGACGGGCAACAAAAGGAGTGGTTGGTCTCCGAAATAAACCATATGATGAAAGGCTGAAGAAACTAGGCCTATTCATACTTAGCTACCGACGTCTTAGGGGGAATTTAATTACTGCTTACAAAATAACAAATGACCAGAATCACCCAAACAAAGGTGTTCTGCTATTGAGTATGTATATGCTCCATCGTGGTAATCCCAGAAGGATAGCTCACCAGAGGGTAAGGACCCGGGTGCGCTCCCACTTCTTTTCACTGCAGGCTTGCCGGCAGATGTTGCTATGGCACCGTCTGTGGACGCGTTTAAGCGAAGGCTGGACAACCATGCAGCGATGTAAGAACTGCATTCAAATGGCCTTTCCCCGTAAGATCGTATACACCATTCAGGGGTAGACAATTAAGCTTGTCGTTTTACTTCTTTACATTCTCTCCCGTCTTACTCTCCTGACAACTTAAACTATACTTACTATTATTATTATTATCATTATTACCGACATATATATATATATATATATATATATATATATATATTATTCATATTATTCAAATTTAATCAGCTGAGTGTTGTTACGTCTTCTTATTTCTTTTTCTGTCTGTTAGTTTAAATAACTTCACTAATTATATCTATTATTATTCTCTATTTTCTTTTGACGTCGATACCGGAGGACTAAGTGGTGAAAGGATAAACTTCGTTCACAGTAGTAACAGTCTTAACACATACTACACACCACACAATTAATCCCGGCACTACTCTTTTTGGAGTCAACCAAAGGTACGACAGTCGAGTGGCGGGACGAGCTACGCAGAAGTTTACCGAAGATCAGGAACCTATACCTTACAATCAAGAGGCGAGTACAAAGAAACCAAATTGGTTTGTACTAGCTCGTAAAAACGATATATAACAAAAACATTGGTTTCAATAAGTTCACTATACTGTTCAATTTAGTGGACAGGTGGAAAACTCGTAGACATATAAAGCAAATGATTTCTTGAGTAGATGTAAAAATAACTTACTGGCCTTGTTCGATTCCTTTTAATGACGTCTTTATTTTCCTTTTTGTAGTTCTCTATGTACCTTTTCGTATCGTCTACATATAAATCGTTAGTAAGATTGTAAACTGCAAAGCTTGTTATAAATGTTACATCTCACTTATTTCTTCCACCTTTTCCAAATAAGAGTCGTAATCTTCTGGACAATCAAAGTCATCTTCGCGCTTGTTAAAACTAACGGTTTTGAAGTTACATCGATGAGCCAAACATACTCGCTAAGCACCTTCTTACGAATATCCACTTCTTTCTGAACCAATGGGTCTTCGAACAGCTGATAACGAAAATTTGTTTTCCGAATAGGGGTTTTGCATTGTGCACATAAGCCAGATCCCCGTACGAAGAGAACTTCAACACAGTTTTCGCATCTTAGATAGTCGAATGAATAATGTTTCTACCACTTACAATGAATGACCACACACATTCACCATCAACTTTAACTGAGGATTACTGTATTTGCTTGACCTGCAGCTTGGGCATGTTTGTGACTGCTCAAACATTTTTGAGCGCTGACCTTGAAAATACAAACCGCCCACCTCAAGTGAAACACGTGATTGCCATATTTCCAGTACAGAAACACAAAACTGATATTCTGGTTTCCAAATATGGTTTTTCGTATTTACTGTATCACCTTTGAGAATCTTAGAGTCTAGGAATCTTCCAAAAATGTTTACTTACTTAAAACAGGAGTACTTTCATATCATTCAAGCTCTCTAACCTTCATCTAAAAGGTTTAAAAAGAAAGCTAAGCGTTCAATATTGGCTTTGACGCTTTGGAATGAGTGTGATATCAAAGCAGAATGATCAATAGAACATCAAGGGTTTTGAATAGAAAGTTTAGCTATCTAAACATAGGGGACTGGATTATGAGTGACGACGGCTAACCTGGTTTTAGAGTCTTTATGTTTCCTTAAACGAAGCCCAATAAGATGGAAATGAAAACGACGATCCAACATCTAAACCGTTGTTTAACGGTATAGAATATCAATAACTCCTCTCTTAAGTTTTCAAGGGTAAGACCGATTACAGTAATTGTGAAAAATGCATAAAGGTGACATGTTTTGATGCAAACATTTGAGGCAGTTAATAAGAGTGTAACAGTGAAAATTGTGGGAGAAAGCTGTTTAATGTAGAAATAGATTTTTAAAAATCAAAGCTTGACTTAACAAAGCATAGGAGATATACCGAGATAGAGTGACTTTTTACCACCCGTTGCTACTGCAATACTAGGTGTTATCTACTTCCAATCCAACGAAAGGAGTTAATCACCGATCTCACCGACATAATCAGCACCGCTAACAAACTCGTGAATCCTGGGAGTTTCCCTAGCTAGGAATACGTGTTATGGTTTCAGGAAACATGAGAGCGATTCTATGCCTAATTCTCGGAGGGAACTCCTAAGGTAGAGTACAAAAGTTAATTGTAGTCTTTATGAAGTGAAACACCATAAGGCGGGAGATATCCGAAAAACTGCTGGTGCATAATTTGTTTTATAGCAGATGCACTTTATCTTTTCTGGCAGAAAAACTGTAGAGATAATGTCGGAGTATAGTACAAGTGATATATACCTCCACTGTTAGCAGTTGTTAAATGGTCGATGGGATGTATAGCCATGTCAATGAAGTGTGTGATTGATAAAAGTGGGATGCTAATGTAAAGATCGTGATGTAACCTATCAATTTGTAATTAATATGCAGCAGTGAGACAGCTGCATTAAACTTCATTCTGTTAGTCCACCCCATTCTAATTATCAGATGCCCGACAGACTGTCATTTATTTTATTCTGAATTTTGATTTTGTGTGACACTTGCAATTGATGATACTATATATGCTTAATTGTGTGAACGTGGTCCATTTTTATGAACCTTTCTGACAACAGTGTATTTCATGGAACATAACAAATGTGAACTTTGATTATTTATTATAGTTATTATAGTTCTATCATTCAAGACTATTGCAATAAAACTGGCAAGCTGCTCATGTTAATGCTTGGAATTTATGTGAACACATTATCACCAGTAAACTAGTCAGATCTATTTTAGCATGCCATCCGTAGATGTCAAATCTGTGTGCTCTTTTTGATGGCCCAGAGGATCTCCGCAACGTAGAGCATTATGGATAATCAAGGTTGATGAACGATTCAGGAATTCGGAAGGACTTTAGTAGTTACCAAATGAGAGCTATATCATCCCTATTATTTTTAGGCTGAGACTTTATGTAATGAACAATACTGGATGATGAATGCCCTTCTATGTATTCGATTGCCCATTAGCGTTCTTATGACAGAAACGTTAAAAATACGCAACTGTCTTATATAAGCTGCCAGTCGACAAATTAGGCGCTTTCTTTGACAGAAGGCTCAGCACCAAATTGGTTATACCGACATGGTCTGGAATTATGTTTTGCTCAACTAGGGCACTACTTTAACGGATACGGCACCTAGTCTGATAACAACTAGTATAGAAGTGTATTTTTAGTCACCTTATCAGTATGAAGGTTCAGGAACAAGTGATTCACCTTCCCTCATCTGAGCAACCATATACAGCGCTGAAATGAAAGCTGGCAAAACGGTTCTCTGTCTGAAATCTAGCGCATACAACAGTTACCTTAGTGGGTCATGAGTCCATACTGCAAATATCACGATACCTGAACCTGCCAGTACGAGAAAGAACATTAGGACAGGTTGTACGAAAGTAATGCTAGACTCAGGCAATACCGCAGTATGCGTGATACTCACTCGATACCTGAGGTCATGGGACCATGCTTGAGCAATCAACCCACAGTGAGGATCGAATAATGGAGACGAACCTTTTCACAAAAAGATAAGTGGAACATACGTCTATGGGTTAAGACCAAATTCCAGATCTTGCAACCAAGGTTATACCACAGACGGTAATTATTGCATATATAGAGCTAACACAGAGCAATCAGAGTAGGTCTCCCAAGAGATGGTATCCTAGGTTAAGAAACAGGCCGAGACAAACCGAATCAACAGGAAAGTTCTATCGGTAACAGTAGAGTTTTGCCGCACAATTCATGGAGCCATTCGCTCGGCCTAGACTATCTCACAAAAAAACAGGATAACGGCAAAACCCTTTCGAGTGAGCGACTAGTAAGAAGGGGTGACCTTATGTTCGCTTAACCTGCGCGAAGAATAAAACACCCGCACAGGCTTCTCGTTTGATGCAAGAGGTGCCTTCATTATGATATAAAAAACAAGGGGCAAGCTGAGATGACAAAAGTGGACATCCAGAAAAGACGACTAACAGTGAAAAAAATCTTCATGTATACGAATGTTTAATCTCACGCTCATTATCCATTGAATGAAGTCCAATCCCGGCAGGTATCAACTTTAAAGTCCCAGAAAATGCTAGCACTTCCGAATTTCATGCCACATTGCCTTCATACTTGCGAGGTTATGCCAAAGTTACTCATCTTGTGAGGACACATGGTCCCCGGTTTTCACTAAACCAAGGAATTCGGCCCGGACGAACTTAAAACAGTGGAGGAAGAATTCTTATAATTTAATAATTTCTATTGTAGCATTAAGAACACAATATTCAGCGAAAAGACTCTTTTCAACGAATTTATTTTCAAGCTGTACAGTCGTACATACATGGTTTTTAGAAAATTACTTCCAGTGAGGGAATAACATCGAGAGTGTGAACACCTGAAATAATGATAATGTGAAATCCAACTAAAATATTTGCGATTATAATCATAGTTAGATGTCAAGTAGCAAGACAATTAATGTCACATATAGAATAATACATAAGGTTTATAGATGTTGGAAAGGGTGCATAATTATAAGATTAGTAGGCGAATATGAAATGTTATGTGGTGTGAAATTTGACACGATAGAATTCAGTATTGTAACAGCAATATATTAACAATTTTGAACTTAGAATGACAAGTGGGACAAGTGGAAACAGTCCAGAATGAGAATAGTAATATAAACAATAATAGTGGTAATAAGGGAAAGGTACATAGAATAACTAAATAAACAAAATACATAAATAAATAAGTGTCTATCTCTCAACGGCCAAGGCAGAAGTAGAGACTGTACATACTTCTTTTGTACACAAAGGTCTGGCTTAAAATTATGAATCGCCAAGGCCCCCGCTGTCTTTAGAAGTCTGTAGCAAAGAAAACGTGGCAAGTTAGCGTGGATTCGGTAGATTACCTTAAAATCATGGACATTTAACCATGATTATAATCACAAATATATCATTATTTCATGTGTTCACACTCTCAATGTAATTCCCTCACCGGATGTAATTTTCTAAAAACAATGTATGTACGACTGTACAGCCTGAAAATAAATTCGTTGAAAAGAGTCTCTTTGAAGAATTCTGACACATGCTTCAAATGGGAGTCCTTATACCGCTGAATTGCCGTTGGACTTACCACTGCACATGTTACCGGCGGAAATTGATTCAGCAAGTGGTGATAACGGAGTTCTGAACAAGCAAACTGTCCTAAACAAGTACCTGCCAGTGCCTCAGGAGGAGCCATAGTGTCTAATAATAAGGACGTATTTCGCGACTGCCACAGTATTCTGGTTGGTGTGGACTGCATAACTAATACAGTCATTACCACTCCATTCGGATTGAGTGAGTTCCAGCGGATGCCATTTGCACTTCGGAATGCTACACAAACTTTTCTAAGATTTATGGAAAACTTGATGGTGAAATTGTCGTTTGCTAATGTCCATGTAGGTGATCCAAGCGTCACCAGCTAAGATGTCAAAACGCCGGAGGACCTCATTAGAGCAGTGTTGCGAAAACCGGGAGATATAAGCGTGATAACCAGAGAAGGCGCCTTCTGAGACACAAACCATGGAATTACCAGGAGAAATCAATGATATTACTAGGATAGCAACAACACTGAAGGAGGTGGATACCATCAAATAATATGTCCATACACTGCACTCATGCAATTATGAAGTTTTCTGAAGTTCATCAACTTCTATCGACGCTTTATACCTAATTGCTCACGATACAAGCAGTTCCCGGCTAACATATAAGAGGGAAGACTAAAAGGTTTTCAGTTGCCGAAAGAGGCATCTAAAACAACTTCTCAGCCAAAAGAAGCGTTGGCGAAATCCACAACCATGAAATATCTTAGTGAAGATGCTCCTCTTGCGTTACTGGTAAACGTATCAGATAGGTCTGTTGCAGCGGCCCTTAACCAGGTGGTTGTTAATATCTGGCAACCGGTAACATTATTCTCTAGACGGCTTAATCCTGCAGAAACGGGGTATTCCACCTTTGATAGAGGGTTGGCAGCAGTCTGTCAGACTATTCAAGATCTGCAAAGATCAGAAGCCTCTCACACGTTTCATGCAAAGATGGATTTCAGAGTTTTCCGACGATATAAGACTCCCCAATGGTGTGGAGAGCTGCGTGGCCGATGCACTGTCCGGGATGCAAGCCATTGCAATCCAGAAAACCACGGTAGACCTCAAGATATTGACCAAAACTCAAAGGAACGACTAAGAGTAAAAGTTAACGTCGAGAAAACTCACAAAATGTATGTTCCGGATAATACTTGTCCAGGGGAGGAGCGTCGGAGACCAACGCACCGTAAGATCCAAGCAAACTGAATAAAAATTATAAATATACAGGACTTATGAGCAACTTTTAAGGAGGTAGGATCACCATCTGCAAATATACGAGCTTCAAAGACTCTCAACTCACGGATCTTGAG